CTGTAACTTGCAACGCATACCTAATACATACATACAATAATAAATATAAATATATATATACCAGGATTACTGGTATTCAACAGTTATAGGGGTCACGGATGAGGGGGCGGGAGCGGAAAATAACCTGTTTCCCATCTTTCTGTATTAAATATCTCAATCGATAAAGAACTGAACGAGAGTATGTGTAAAGATAGAAAAATATTGTTATTACTGTATAAGTTCTAATTTTGTCATTCATTAAAGACAATATGAAAATACAGAAATCGATTCTTGAGGTCGATCTTTGGCCTTTTTTCCTCTGCATGGTTGCACCCATAGCCGACTCTGTGTGTAAACGTATTATATTACAGGCGTATACGTGAACAGGTAACAGTGCTTTATGCAAGCGAATATAAAATTTTCAATACTTACTCATTTACACATCAAACAGTTTGAAGAGCATTATTTCTGTTATTAAAGTGTTTTTGACTGAGCGTGGTTGCCTATGGACTGTGGATCTGTGACTCGATAGTCCGCGTCCCATTATTGCCGAAAATAAATTGCGCTCTACACTTTGAAGCCACAAATGCGTTATAAAAGTGACAGTGAAATCCAACTATTCGGACTGACCAGAATAGCCTAAGAGTTGGAAGTGGATAATGTTAAAGAGTTACTTTCCCTCTAGTCTATCACTGCTAAATTAGGGACAGCTTTCCCTCGAGTAGTCTTAGGGACGGCTGGCACATATATCCCTCGATTAGTCTTAGGGACAGCTAGCTCAGATAGCCCTCAAGTAGCCATGGAGATGGCTAGCTCAGATAGCCCTCGAGTAACCATGTGCGATACTAAGTAAATATATTAAGGTTTTTTACTTTCTCTTGTTTTCTTCCACGACATTAAAAAAGAGTGCTTCATCATCAGTCAAATATTTTAAAAATCGTGGGTTGAGAAGACTAGTTTTGTTTTTCAAAAGCCTATATGATAAATTTACAATTACTGTAACAACGATTTGATTGTGTTCCGTATACTGTAACACGATCACCGATTTCACCACATTTCGTTTATGTAGACACACCGCTAAACTAACTGCTCCCGGTTGTATCACGCCCATGTGAGTCTCCATATTTATGTTCTAGTTTCCCAGAATAATCTTTAAGAAGTTGGTGTAAAAATACGTATGTACAATAATATAAGGGAGAACGAATCCAGTTTCTTCATTTATATAGAGGTACTGTTTTGAGAAAAAGGACACTATCATGCGGTATACAGATATCCATTAAAAATATTAAAATAACCAAATGTGGATGGATGGATGGACAGGTTAGGAAGAGTAAACAGATACATACGTGGGTAAATGGAAAGATGGCTAGAAAGAGAGTTTGTAGCAGTTTATTGATTGGGTGGGTGTTTTAAACCACAAAATTACATAAAACTTAATCGATCGATTTATAAAGTACTACCAATCATCCCTCCCTCCCCCTCAATTCATTATTATTATGGATCATTGGACATTCAGCCTGTGATATGTACATATATATAGTGGTTTCACACAGTCGTTTCTCTAAGTGTTTTACGTGCTCCAACTTGTGTATGAAACACGGCTAGTCCTCAAAGAAGACATTTGGATATCTTAACTCGTCAAGAGCCATCACACATAGGAGAAAACCAGTAACGGTTGACGACTCTAGATTTCTACAATCGTACGATACCAGCTCTGAGACTGAATGAGATGTTCGCAGCCGAAACTGAACACCATGTCAGTGTATATACGACGATAAACAGACTTTGCAAGGCCGTTCTATATGACAGACGCCCATTGATGTGCATTTCGCTTACAGGTACAAATAAACTCATCTACAATCGTGCCAAGAACACGTCCAGTAGACCCACAACATATGGAACACAATATATATATATATATACGTTTATCAACACTGATCTTCTGCAAGCAACATCGGTACCAGGCTGTCTTTGATGCTCGTGGACACTATAATTAACGGAAATGTCGTGAGTTGTGTTGTAAAGTTACTTCTGCCAACTATTCCTATGAATGACTAATCGTTTGCATTTCAAATCGCATGATAGATCCTCAGGTGCCTGGTTTTCATTTTTAAAAATGAACTGGAAACGGGTGATTTTGCCTTTTCATATCTAATATATTATGAGCCAACTTGTGCTTTATTTAACGGGTAATGAACATGGTTCATAGCGGTTTCATAGTGTAAAGTTGATCTTCTCTTGAAAGAGCTTGTTTAACGTTTGGAGAAGTGCAACCTGTTAATTAAGATCGTGTTTATATTATTATAACTCGACTACTTCAGAAAAGGCACGGCATGGCCAGGTGGTTAGGGCGCTCGACTCACAATCAGTGGGTCGCGGGTTCGAATCCCCGTCACACCAAACATGCTCGCCCTTTCAGCCGTGGGGGCGTTATAATGTGAGGGTCAATCCCACTATTCGTTGGTAAAAGAGTAGCGGTGGGTGGTGATGACTAGCTGCCTTCCCTCTAGTCTTACACTGCTAAATTAGGGACGGCTAGCGCAGATAGCCCTCGTGTAGCTTTGCGCGAAATTCAAAAACAAACAAACAAACTTCAGAAAAAATAGTACTAAAACAGGTATGTCGGAAGATGTGGTTGTACACATTAACTATGTGTGTCTTACGTTTATTGTAATATTTTTATCTTCTATTTTAATATTGTTTTATCTGAGTTCTATATTGCTTTAGTCTGTGCTTCGTATCGCTCTTAACATTTATTTTTCATGTTCTTCTCATGTGTTCTTTTATGTGTACACTATTCTCTTCCCATATCTGTCTGATATTGTTTTATATCTGTAGTATCCCCTTTTGTATACACTTTATCAAACCATTACTTTTTGTGTTGTATCGTGTTCTGATATAATTTCCGTATTGTTTTGTATGGTGTCTACTCTTTTAATGAGCGCAGCTACTTGATATTGTATTTATGTATATTTTACCCTTCTTTTATACGTGTTCTTTAGAGTATGTTGCTAATGTTGTTCTGATTTCTTACGTTATTTTTATGTTGTATACTGTGCTAATATTTACTTATGCGCATTATATACTGATCTAATGCTTTCTTGCTATTATTTATGCAATGCTGATCGTACAAGGATCAGCATATTTAATCTTTGCATCTGTTGATCTCCAGATTGATTACCCAGATGTCCAACTGATGCGGCCTGGTCAGCGACAATCCTGTACCACCATGAACCTGGAGAAACTACTCGCTCTTGAGCAGGACGAGGTTTCTGTGGAACCGCATGATCGGTTACATATGGACGAAAGTGACGAGGTAGATCACCAGCCTCATCATATACAGGTAATGTGAGTTTAACAAATAGCATTTCAAAGCCTAATTATCATCAACGGTGTAATCATTCTCGCGAAGGTCATATATTGAAGGGATTTATCGAACTTCTTGTTCTTCTCTCAGGGGCAGCTTGTCAATTGAAGGGTGTGCAAGAGGGGAGGGGGACAAGCAGGGGCCCGACAGTAACTATTCATACTTACTGAACGTCATTTTTGGGAGTGTAATACTGTTTATTTCTATGTGTATTATGTATTTGTGTGTGTTGATATGGTTTATATATATATTGATGTGTGGTTGGGTTGCTTAAAGTTCCCCGCAGTAGCGAACAAATTTAAATTCCGTTGCAGTTTGCTGCTAAACAATGATGTATCATTATTTCCTATTTTAATATCTCAGTCAAAATGTACAGAAAATGTTCATAGAAACATTGTATACAGTTAGAAAGTAGACGAAAGTAGATTTTAAGAGAACTTTGATTTTGTTTCAAGCGATGCAGAAAAAATAGGCACTTTTAATGCTCAAACTACACTAGTTTAGATTATGTAAAACTTTATAAAGTTAATATACTGGATAATTTTTGTGTTGTAAGAGGATATTAAATAGATTCACATAGTGACTGAATTATATATTTCACTCTGTCTACCTAGTTACCTGAGTATCAGACTGTACAGACCATTTTACGTGGGGAAACCTTGCAGAAGTCCAACCGAAGCTCTCATGGCAGTGACACTTCCTCAGCTTACTCAGGATCTGACACAATGCAATCAGTACAGTCCTCATTGGAGGATCAAGAAGTGGACCTTTCAGGACTCACAGAAAGTGCTGTGGATTCAGATGATGAAGAGGATCTTGCAGAGCTGATTGAGGTTAGTTCATTTTTTTCTGCTTAATTAGTATACAGTGTTGATTAGAACTTGAGAGCTTTTAAAGTTTTACATATTGTATAATAGTGTTGTAGACTGTGTTTTTATTATTTCAATATAGACTTTTGTATTAGAGGGAGTTCTGACATGACATAGCGATGCTTAGAAATTGCCTGAGTGCTTAGAATTGACACAATGTCTCAAACTTCCATGAGGTCTGAGGAAACATATATTGTGTAACAACACAATAATCAGTGAGGCATTCAGCAAACGAGTTGATTAGTTAGATAGTGAATCTGTTACTCTATTAGCAGTTGATTATTGAGTGTGCTAGTGAGCTATTTGTGAGTTGTAATCAGATACAAGAGGAAATTTAACAAGTAAATCACTGTTTATTTTTATTTGTGCGTTAGACCTACTCTTGGTTATTGTTAGTTCATAGCACCATGTAAATTGTAAAATTCTAAGTTAAAGAAAAAAAAGGCTTTCGTTTTTGTTAATTGGGTTAGATTTTGCATTATTTTTACTCACTCAATGACAGAGACCATTACAACACTTGTGTCATGAGGGAGATTATGTTGGTCAAAATAAAATAGAATCTAGACTAAACTTCAAGATATCCAAATTGCTAGAGATGATGAAACAGTGGAAAGAAAAACAAGCAAAAAGACAGAAAATTAAAAAACACAAAAAGATATTTATGGAACATTAAAAGAAGAAGATGGAGACAGAATTAAAAGAAGAAGATCAAAAGGTAAGACACAGAAATTTGATGAATTAAAAGAAAAAAATGTAAGAATTAAGAGCAGAAATAAAGTTAATTATTAACAAGGCTGAAGAAGCTATTGGAGGTGTGCATAAGGATGATAAAAACTGAGTATGAAAAAAAGACATTTGTGAAGTGTAGAAAGACTGTAATGACAAAATCAATGAAGTAAAAAAAGAAAGTTAGTGACAGAATAAAACATCTGGAAAATGAATTAGCAAATGCAAAAATCAAACTAGCTACACTTCTCTGCTCCTGCTCAAGAAGACATTTACAGAAAATTAGAAGAAAATCATGAAAAGAGAGACCAAAAATTAAGAGATAAGAGGCAGAAATTAACAAGTGCTAATCATACCAGCCACATGCCTCTACATCCACCCAAGAATTTCAACTTCTAACACCTTTAAATATGGAATAGAACTCATGCAGTCAACTATGACCATAGGACCTTTTTGGAACACTCCAGCTATATCATTATCCCATCAAGTTATTGAATTTGGCAGGCTAATTCAACAATATTTCCCAGTGGAGAAACCAACAGACTATGGCAGAAAGGTATCATGGGAGACAGATCAGGCTCAATTCAAAATAATTTACAAGATTGCTGGGTGGAATATTGAACAAAAAGCCATTTATTTTGCTGCTCATTTAAAAGTATCTGCTTTAACAATGTTAAGCAACCTTCCAGTTGAGAGTCATAAAAACTATTAAGCATTGGTGGTTGGATTATCAAACATGTTTAGAGTGAGACACCAGAAGGAAGTTTCCAAAGAAAGGTTCAGAAGCAGAAGATGGAGGAAAGAAGAGGTTTTAGTGAAGTTGCAGAAGATGTGGAAAGGCTTGCCCAATTACCTTACTTGGGTGCTCCACATCCAATGATGGATTTGTTGGTAAGTGACCATGTCATAGATGCCATAATGGATGAGGATATGACAGTTAGACTAAAGCAAAGTAGATGAACATCTTGAAAGAAGCTCTCCAGTCATTGATAGAAATTGAATCCGCTAAAGTAGCAGATAAACAACTAAAGGCACTATCCAGAAGTTACAGGATCATCAAATGAAGTAGTATAGATACATCAACTTCTTTATATGGTTGTCTAGAAAAACTGACTGAAAGAATTAATCAGAAAATTATATGCACAGAACAGCAAAAGTAAACAACAATAAAACAGGTGTTTCAAGTGTAACTTAAAAGGTTCATATTGCTAAAAACTGCTCTTGAAAGGTAACAGAAGGAGACTGCTATAAGTGTGAAAAATATGGATATTACATTTATGACTGTGATAAATCATTTGTTGACAGTAAACCAAGGAGCCAGTATTTTGAGAACAAGAATATCCTATCTGTCCCAATAAAAACAAAGAGCATATTCTTTAAAAAAATACTCCATCAGTAAATGGATTTATTGATGGAAAGTTTTGCAGTATGTAGATCAACATGGTTCTACAGCTATGATTATTCAACCCAATCTGGTAACAAATGGTGGTAAATTGTCTTCAGAGATAAAGAAAAAAGATGGATTGATCTGAACAACAAGAGAACATAAAGTTCCAGGAAGAAGAAACTTCTCTACACAACCCAATGTATGGGTAATTGACACTGAGAAAGAGTGCATATTGGGAACTGACTTCATGTTGAGACATTGATGTTGGACTTAAGTAAGAACAAAGATGAACCCACAGGGTAATGAAGACAGCTGACCTGAATTGCAACAAAGCAGAATCCAGAAAAATGGGTGGTCCAAGCAGAGAGTCATCTGTTTTAATCATCGTTGGAAAAACACTGATGGGAAAACACCAATTGCTTAACTTCAGGGGAAAATTCACCAGAAGTAGTCAATCTGCTGGATAGACTAGAAATGCTCCTTTCGAGACCTTATCCAGAGTGCCAACAGAGGTGAAACCATGACTGGTGTACAAGATAGTAAGTAATGATAAAGGACACAAGGTCACCCCAAGGTTATATTGAAAAGCCATTGAAAAGAAAACCACAAAAACTTGGGTGAATGGGCAGTTTTAGAGACAATAAATAAGATAATGAAGAAGATTTTGTTTTGTAAATCAGCATTGTAACTGTACTTGACTTAACACAATTAACTGTTTAATGATTGTAATGTGTATTTATGGATAGTGATTTTTTTATTACTTGTAAATAGTGACATTAATTATGGAAACTTAAGATTAATATACTATTGTTCTATTTGTGTATTAGGATTATTTAAGGGACTTCACAATCCAGGGAAGGGATATTGTTGTGGGTTATATTTTCAATATTTTAATTTAGATTTTTGTGAGATTTACTAAAAACAAATGTTATATTAAAATGTCTCTAATCATTCAGCTAGCAAAGCAGTCACTGAATTAATTCATTAGTTAATGAATCTGTTGTTTTATTGATTGAATTCTGAGTCAGCCAGTTTTGAGTTGTGAATGTTTATTTTGTTTGTGAGAGTTAAAATGCTTTCCTTATTATTATGCATTATTTCTTTTGAATAATCGAAAAGAACCAATCGATAGATAGAGATCATTACAACAATAAGATTAATTTGTACTTTTATTGTAAAAGTACAGATAGAGATCATTACAACGATAGGTATTGTAATAAAGTGTACTTTTAATATGAAATCATTGTGATCAGATTACTTCTTTTGTGTGTCTCCTTCTAATTATGTTTTATTAATAATGTAGTTTTCTTTCTGCTTTATTGGCTGATGAACATTCAATTTGTATTTCTTCATAGTCACTCACATAGACAGAAATTATGATCTTCAAGTTATCTTAAAATGATATTCTTTGTTGTCAGAACCTGTCTGTTAGAGATACTGTGCGTGAATGCTTGGAAAGGGACCCTTCAGAGCGTACAGATGATGATATTGAAGTGTTGTTGGAGTTCATGCAGCATTTACCTGTGAGCAATCTTTTTTATTTTCTTCTTCATATTTGTAGTTTGATTTCAGTGACTGAAGTATTGTAACTAATTAATATTACCTTGTTATTTTTGAAGGTTAGAGAGCTGACAGTGTGATTCTCTCAGAAATTATTGGAAACTTCATCTGTACATAGTTTATTTGATTTATATTCTTTGTGATTTTTGTATACAAAGTATTAAAATGTGATATTCTGTATAAATTAAATAATCTGTATACACAAACTATCTCATTACACTCCAAGAATGTATTAGTTTAGTAACCTAACCAGCATAAAAAAAAGTCCAATGATAAATAATAAGATAATTTTATGTAATCCTAAATTCAGGGGTAAAAAGTAGTTAATATGTTTTTTCACTTGTTTGCAGGCATGCGTGTGTGATATTGGGTGACAAAAATATAGTATTCACAAAAAATGTATAACATTTAAAAATCTATAATTTTACACTTGTTATTGTCTTAAGATTTTACTATCTTTTCAACAGGCTTTTGCCAACATTACCTTAGCTGTGAGAAGAGCTTTGTGTGCTGTGATGGTGTTTGCAGTTGTTGATAAAGCTGGAACAATTGTGATGAACGATGGAGAGGAACTAGACTCTTGGTCTGTCATTGTCAATGGTCAAGTGGAAATTGAGCTCCCAGATGAAAGTATTCAGGAACTTAATCTTGGTGACAGGTAGGTACCTGAGTGGAACGTGTTAGCTACAGCTATGAACATTTGTTTATTTGATGTAATTTAATGTTCAAGAACTTCAAGTAGATGACTGATGAAAAATGTCTCAGTGACTTAATAATAATTGCACTTACAGGAGAAACCATTAGATAATAAACATATGAAGACTGATTTTATATGTTTTTCTCATTTTGGTTTGCAAAATATATGTTTTAATTCCAAGTTGATTCATTGTGGGTAAAATATCATAACTATCCAATAAAACAAGCAAAAGCACTTTTTACTTTGTTTTAGCTGAGAAAATTATACATCAGTGTATAAAGTAATTTAGATTATGGTTACCATCAATCTTTTGTACAATATTTTTGTATTGTATCTATAAATTGTATCATTTTTGTTAGCACCAATTGAAATAAAGGTTAAAAATACTCATTCAGAATGTATGTTGTATATTTATATGTGTGTTATACAATTTGTTAATTTCTATGATTTTTACAATTTTTTTTTCTTTTTTCAAAGTATGAAAGTTTTTAATATTTTTTTCTTAGTTTTGGAATAACAGCTACCACAGAGAGAATGTATCATCAAGGTCTGATGAGAACTAAAGTGAATGACTGTCAATTTGTATGCATAGCACAGAGTGATTATCACAAAATACTCCACCAAGGGGAAGAAAACACTAGGAAACATGAAGAAGATGGTCAAGTGGTTCTTATAACAGAACGAAGAGTCCTGGATGGGGGCAGTCGGCAGGGTCATGTAGTCATCAGGGTAAGCATGTGTTAAACTTGTGAAAAAGTTTATGTCTAATCCTGGTATTTTTCTATATTTAAATACTGATAGAGATCACTTAGAGTCTGCCTAGCTAGTGTTAAATTTTAGTGTTTTAAGAAAGAAATATGAACTAAAGACTTTAATCCTAAGAATTATTAAAGCATCTAGTCCTCAGAATGACATTTTTGGGATGAGATCAAACCTACAGATATTGAGGCTGTGCATCTGTACAGCTATAGTCTATGATTACATATTGACAATAAAACATGATTAATATGTGAAAATTAAATAATTTACTAATAAGAGCTTTGCGTATGCTTAAGTTAACTTTTGTGTGTGAACCAAGTATGGGCTAGTTGGTTAGTGTGCCTGGGCTGTGAATCTGAGGGATTTTTTGGTTACCTCCTGTTACTGCAAAAATGTACTGTTCGTTTCATGGCTGTGGGTGCATGATAAGAGTGACAGTCAAATCCTTCTGCTCAGTCAAACAAGAACAGCCAAAGAAGTGAATTTGGGTGCTGTAAAGCTGCCTTCACACTAGTATATCAGTTTAAAATTAGGGACACCTATGTATATGCATATAGCCCTTATATAGTTTTGCCTAAAAATACTACATACAATGCCATAAGTGTGTTGAAAAAAGTATTATATTTCTTTAAAATTAAAGTTAGCTTTATAATAATACAAAAGAACTTAAAATTAAATTTAAGTAAGCCTTACTGTTCAAATTCACTAAAGCAACAGGAAATAACTTAAAACATTACATTGATACTTAATCATTTAAATGTAAGTTCAATAAGAATTATTACATTATGTAACAGATATTTTGATCTGTCCAGGAATAATTCTGTCAAATTTGGCTTAATGCATACCTAGAATGCCTTAAAATATATTATGAACACATATTTAATGGTGTTTGTAGCACACTAATGTTTAGTAAAAAAGGACTATTTATGTCTTAATGATTCTTTAGTTGTTAACAATTGAACAACCTGCTGCTTTATCAAAGTATATTTTTGTTACTGCTAAGCTGTAAATGGTAAACGTTAACTTAAAATTAGTTTTAGTTTATAATTGTTTTGCAAAGAATGTGAGGCAAAGAAAAATTGAACTGAACTTGAACATTAAAGTCATGAAGTATGAAATGTTTAATCATTCTTTCAAGTATTAAAATATTTGCAATAATCCTCTTGTGAAATGGGGAATTAATATTTTAAATGATAGAGAGAGAGAGATTATTCGTAGGAGTTGATATCATGTAATTAGTTTACTGAACTGAAAGAATATGATTTATAGGAACTGTAATACTAAACTGGCAGGAAATTAATATTTAAAATGAAACATTTTATGTTAGAGAAATTATAAATTCAGCTAAAGATAATTTTAAAATAAGGTCTCAGCAGAAAATGTTTTTTTTTAATTAATATGAACTTTAGGTGAACTTTTTTTAGCAAATTTATACTTTATAGGAGAATTGTTTTTAAGACATTGATAATCTAAGCTGGAGGAAACTTTATTTGAACAGTTAATGATCAGATTTAGTGGGATCTGTATTTGGAGAGTTGAGGGTTTATTTTTGGAGAATTAACAGTGTAAACTGAAGTGGAACTATTTTTTGACAGTGATAATCAAAATGGATGTTGTAAGCTACAAAACTGTATATTATTCTTAACTTTATTCAACACAAACTGGAGTTTATTGCAAGACATTTCTATTAATGTAAATAAAATAATGACCTACATCTCCAGAATGTATCTTTATTGGCTCAATATTTTGCTATTACAGTTTTGTCAGGACATAATTATAATTTACAAGATCACTAATTCATTTTATATTAATCCAGGATTAGCAGACTTGTAGGTTATTGGTATCTCCAGATTGAGCTGTAATATCAAAATATTGTGCCAATAAAGTTACCTTCTGGAAATATAGATTATTATTTTATTTACTTTAATAGAACTGTATTTTAGACTGTAGGTGGAGAATCTTTTTTAAGAAGTAATATTTCTTCAAACCAATTCCTTCTAGGTACAGATATGTTTCTAAAGCTCAGGTAGGTATGGTAAATGCCAGTAATGCAAATCAAGATATAATAGCCTAAAATTCATTATGATCAATCATGATAAAGAAATTAATATGTACTACATCTAATAATGGATAAAGGAAACGTTATAATTGAAACATTTCATATTGACCTTGATTACTTGTCTCAGAAAAGGCTTAGATGTAATTTTGTATTTTTAAATGATAGTGAATACAGAGTTGAGATGTTATTTAAAAGACATAAATACTACAGTAAAGTTTCACATTGTTATATGTGTCACACATTTAAAAAGTATAGTGTTTTATGTAAAGTTTAAAGTCATGTGGCCACCCATAGAATTATCACTAAGCATGGTAATACTTAGTATGTAGGGATAGGCCAAGAAATAAATTGGCCACTGCATTTAAGCTGTTACTCTATGATGCTTACAGATAACTGCTAAAGTTGAGTTATAGCCTTATTTGAGCACCTAATTGCCATTATCGAGTGTTTCACAGCTTGTATAACAGTAATATTATTCTGTTCGTCTACCACATGTATATTTGTGGGTAAATAATAAAAAGGAAAACAACTCATTAGCAGTGAGTTCAGTTTATAAGCATATATTATATCATTTCTGGTCACTAGATGATCAATACAAATTGTTTTTATATAATGACCATTTGTGACTTTTCATTGCAAAAACATGATATCTGCCAAAACAATTTCCATAAAAAGAAAGAAAGGAAGTATAATCTAAATTAATATTCAAAGTATCAAGGACATCAAGTATTTGTGCAAATGACAGATCTGTGTACATGTTATTGATGTTTGAGTTTAAAAACACCAGTTTCTTAACTAACAAAATAGTACATTATATAGCAGTCTACTTTTCTTCAGATTTTGAGTGGGGCAGAGCCTGGCAAGAGAGTGTGTATGTGTGATATCATAATTTATGGCCTGGGGTCTGTATGATGTCCTCCCTATTAATTGACATGACCCTAACATGTGGTGGAGTTGATTGTATGCAAATCCAGTGAGTTGGGATGAAGTTGGAAGGTGTGGGTTTTGTAAATATCCCCCTTAGTGTTGGTCTAGCACTCCAGGATGCTTATACTGCCTTGGAGAAATCATTCCAGCTTTACTGGCATAAATTGTAATCGAATATTGGAGAAACTGACAAAACTGGTGTGATATTAATAATATATATTACCATTGAATTATAAAAATGCAACAAATATTCACTTATCAACCTACTTCAATGAAATTATTTAAAAACAAAAGGGAAACGAGTTTTAAAAAAATTTCAAAAATTAAGTATGATGTAGGGATGGCAATTCCAAAAAGTGCAGAAACAATGTATGGATGAATACACAAACCCTTCAAAAATCCCTACATAAGCAATGAGTAAGTACTGAGTCAATCTTAAAAGCTTATGGTTATTAGCCACTGTAAGACTCAGGGTTCTAGTTCTAGATAATATATCAAAGTTTAGTATTATTTAAGTTTTAAATTCATAATTTTATATGGAAATATTCTCAATTTCTCCTAGTATGAGAACTGTGATGTTTGTTATCTGTGTCTTCCCTCTTATCTAATTTTTTTACCATCCATCCAAGAAGTATGAAATTTAATGTAAATTACTCAATAAAATGTTGTCATCTTTCAGTTAAAGTATAATTTACATAGCCTTCAATGTTATTTAGTTACAAAGCAATAAAATAGAAAATCAGACCTCTCTTGCCATGCCCATCTGTCACATCCTCTCTTTTGGAACTGGCCAATAGTTCTCTCTGACATTTAAGAAGATATTATCTATATTATATTATATTACATTGTTGTCTGTACAGAGAATTGACTACTTTCCTTCCAGTTCAAACTTTATTCCCATGGGAAACACATCGACAAACATTGCTGAATTTGTAACGTCTTTCGTTGCACAGCTAGAAAGCCAGAAAAATGGGGATAGTTATGGAACATTGTTTCCTTTGTGCCTGTTGTTATTCTGTGTTCTTTGGCTCATTTTCTTGTTTTTCATGTGTATTCTTTATTTATTATCATAAAAGTAACTAAAATTGAAAACTTTTTAGGTTAGCTAAAGTAAAATATATAATAATATTAATAATAATTATTTTTTATGAGGCATGCTCGTGAGTAATCCATATATTATGTAATTCGATACAATAATGTTAGCTGCTTGTTCGTCATGTGAGTTACAATTTATATGGCATGAATAATACTTAATAGTTACCTTTAAGCTACTTAGGATAAACAATTGTGGTTTTCTGTTACAATCTGCAGTCATTCCAAAAAGAAACTATGGGAAGTTTACAAATTATTTCCTATTTTTTATGGTGGTTACATAGACAGTCAAATCAACCAACCTCATACAGACTTAGGGTAAAGAAAATAACAGATAAAATATAAAGCTTTGCTGAAAAAACATTTGTTATTTATTTAGGAGGTTCTAGGAGTTATGGAAGTGTTCTTTGAAAATTTTCAGATGAAGAAAAATATTTTTAGTCTTATGAAAATTACTTTGCACTCATAAAGGGAAACAACATGCAGTTTAAATTGTAAATAAAGTTTTACATTGAACATTAATATACTCTTTTCCACTTGCAGAAGGTAAACGTGTAGTGTAAATTGTAAATAAAGTTTTTCATTGAACATTAATATGCTCTTTTCCACTTGCAGAAGGTAAACGTGTAGTGTACATTGTAAATAAAGTTTTTCATTGAACATTAATATGCTCTTTTCCACTTGCAGAAGGTAAACG